AAATAACCCAAATTGTCTCAAACGGTTCTTGAACTGCAAGCCAAGTTTATGCTCTAATATCCGCCCAACGGTCTCGAAAATGACCACTCAACGTTCCATCCGATCAAGCGAGCATGGGAAACTTGCAAAGACGTCTGGTGCGCACTGTATAAGCAGATGATCGGATAGTAAAGATTCACATCGATCAGATCACTATCCCGATCAGTAGTCCAATGTGAAAGCAAGTTGCATAATCCATCAACGAGCCGGTCATCCAAGTGTTTCATCCTTCGGGCAACAAGATCTCCTTATCGAACGACGGATAGCCTTTGTCTTTGCATGTTGCGCTCGACTATGTCTGGTTTATGCCCAATGCAAGAGTGACATTGCGTAATATGGTCAACACGCCCAGCTCCACCCTGAGCTTCAGTCATCGTGTTTCCCTGACGAGAGTCATTTATATCCATTACCTATCTCCACTCAATCGCTTTTATTTCTAACTATTTATGGAGCCCAGCAGTTACTCAAGTTATCGGTTTGACGCAAAAGAAACAGCATCATTTGATTCTGTCTGGATGTGCCACGCACTGGGTTTCCCGTCAAAAGTGGGAGACAGTTATTGCGCTTTTATACGGTGGTTTGTTTTTATGAAATGACTCATGCTGAATAACAGTCGCATTACTTCTCATTGTCCTTCAAGGCTCCGACAATTGGTTGGCTCATTCGGGGTAGATGTAGGTCTTGAGATGCCCATAGTCTTATTGAATAGCTTTGGGGAGTCAAGCTTTTTTTCTTGAGAAATGAGGATCCTGCTTCGTGGTGAGGAGAGCAAGTGGTGAACGGGTAATTGTGCATCTCCTTGAAAAAATGATGGTAACATTTTGATTAGATCTAAGGCGGGTGTGGTGAAGTGGCAAGCGGCGCACTACCGCATGCATGGAACGGGGATCGAGCTCCAGATTGATATCTGACCAGTCCAACCAGGCCTTTCATCCCTTCCTGGAGCATAAAAGCATTGACTTTTATATATCCTGGCCCCTACATTGGAACAGGTGTGTATTCAATCATTCGTTCGCCAATACGTTTCTGAACGAAGTCGGGTTTTGAGCGCATTCCTAATTGGATTGATCAACTCCACAAGACTCCAATAACTGGCATTTAACTGGCAATCTAGGTATAGAGACGGGACCATACAATAAATTTGAAGCAAAATCAACGGAAAAAATAGATAGCATAATAATAAAATACAATAAAAGCAGAGCAATCACAGGCCAATTATAGCCACTTCACGGAATGCGCCACACCTTCTACCCCATTCAAAGTCGCAAAAGCATTTGAGTCTTAGTTATATAATGGTTTTGACAGCTCTGAGGATCCTTACACATTTTTGAGGGCAAAGGGTTGAAGGCTTCTTCACCATAGGAGGAGGAGTAAGCGATCACTTGCCTCCCGGCTGATTTTACAACTGTTTTCCCATCACACTATAGGTTTTGATTCAGTGACTGGTTTCTTTCAAAATATCTTTTTCACCATTCTTCTGTTCGATATAGGTTTCGCTTCGTTTTTCCAGTTTTGACTATACGGTTACACTTCACAGTACTATACGTTACAGGAATGTATTTACTACTGTACAGTATATTCCTGCCGTTGGCTTTCGCTGTTGATATGCCTCCGATATCGCGAGGTCTTGCTCCAGAAGACTCTGATCTATTGTCAGTCCCACGAACTGCTGGAGGAGGCTTGAAGGTAGCGCTAACATTTAATTTCGTGCCAATCATTTTACCAAGTTGTTCAACGGTACATTCTCGATCGATAATTAGGAGAGTAAAGTTCAAGAGTCATACTAATATATTGAGCTTCCTGTTAGCAACAACAATAGTAACAAACAGTAATAGCAATAATCTTGATAATGATAGCCTTCTTCAAGTTATTTTCTCCAGCAATGATCCCGCGCCTTCACAATGTTCGTTATTCCTGTTTGTCGTTTCCATTTTTTACTACCGGCCTTTCTCCTCTAATAGTCCTACTTAAACGCACTGTTCACGATAATTTTGAGGTACCCCTTTTTATCCAAAAAGCGGAAGTATAGGTTGAGAATAGTTCACTGGTGGTGAGAAAGCGAGAATATTCGTCAATTCCGAGAGAATAAGGCTCCACAAAAGTAGGAAAAATAAAGGTTGGACGAGATTACCATGACGAAATAACATAGAAGGGGTATTCGGACGAGATTTCAGTTGGTATGCAACTGCGCAAAGAGTTGACTACATCAACCAAGAACTGTACAGAATTACCTTTCACTGTCGCTTTGGGTTATGACAAGTTGTTTGAACTTCCTACATGGATTATCTTGTGATCGGTGCAGCCTCTACAATGCCGGTAAAACTCGTCCACGCATACACACGGGCCAAACTTTGAGCCTTCATAGCTCCCTAATTAGACCGCTTTCCGACCTGTTATCGCCAGATATGGTATACCAGGGGGCCTCGAATTATCCTATGGGGAATCTCAGAAACCTTCTTCATCGTGAACTGTGCCTTTAACGACGTCCTGAAGCGTACCTATAGGTGATTTTAGATCCATCGTATATGTTAGAAAGTTCACATGTTTTCGTTGAAGACCTATCTGCAACAAAGACACGCGCGATAGGATTCCGTTGCAGGAGAACTTGACAACATCTTTCCTCCCAAGTTTTCCTTTTGCACCTTTTTCAACTAAATAAATAAAGCTAAAGTTGAATCAAGTAGTTGGGGTGAGTCTTGAAGCTCAGATTGGTGGGATACTGGTGCCAGTGATAGAGTAAAGTATTAATTGCGATTCGTATGATACTACGAAACAGTAATTTACGCTGAGTAAGCAAATAAATAAAATGGCGCTGACAAATAAATAGATAAATATATTTGTGAATCTTTGAGCGAGGCTTGCAACTTTATTTCGACCAACTTAGATGTTACTTTTGTCGGAGGCTGACAGCTAAATATTTTGCGATTTACCCTTTTGATTAGTATTTCAGATCTGAATTCACTTCCTTTATAGTTGGCTTCTACTGCTCATTCGTGAGAATTCAAAAATTACTCCTCAAGTACTTTATTGCAACAGTTGTTCTAGAAAACGTCTTTTTAGCTTCGAGCCAATGGCGTCCTCCAAAACGAGGTGACCACCATTGGTAAGGAGAAATCTGGCTGGTCAACGGANGTAATTTACGCTGAGTAAACATATAAACAAATTGGCGCTGACAAATAAATAGGTAAATGTATTTGTGAATCTTTGAGCGAGGCTTGCAACTTTATTCCGACCAACTTAGATGTTACTTTTGTCGGAGGCTGACAGCTAAATATTTTGCGATTTACCCTTTTGAACAGTATTTCAGAGTTGAATTCACTTCCTTTATAGTTGGCTTCTACTGCTCATTCGTGTGAATTCAAGAATTACTACTCAAGTACTTTATTGCGACAGTTGTTCTAGAAAACGTCTTTTTAGCTTCGAGCCAATGGCGTCCTCCAAAACGAGGTAATCACCATTGGTAAGGAGAAATCTGGCTGGTCAACGGACGACTACAGTGATTTCGCCAATGAGCCAATTCAGAATGGAGGAGGTAATCGCCTAAAACTTGCCTATTTGAGGGTTTGAGCTCCTGGAAACTTCTCTGGCAGTCGCCAACTCGACCATTTACTTTTTACTTGATCTCATCAAGGCCATTACATGATAAAAGCTCGATACCCTTTCCTTTAATCATTTCCCGGGATCAGTTCCATACATCAGGCACTCGCTTTCCTAGGCACTTGCTTTCCTAGGGACGAACCCCATCGCTCTTCGGACTTTACTGCTCACTGCAGCATTTGTGTCGTTACTATTTCAGCTAACCGTGAGCTCAAACCGGTCACATATCGTCCGATTCCGAAAAAGTACGAGATACCATCGCCTGAGCCCGAAACGGAAATCACAGGTACTCTTATCTTTACTCTATACGAAGACAATACTCAAAATCTGAAACAAAAAGGTTGTCATAGTGGACATTAGCTGTAAAGTGGAAGTGAAAGGCTTCTTGCGCGTAAAATCAATACTCATTTCAAAGCACGAGTATTGATTTTACGGGCTGGATGTGAAATTGGTCACGGTTACAAAGCAGAACCCTCCCAATGGGATTGCTGTTATGAGGGCACAACTTCAAGAGCTTGCTGGGCTACGAAGTCTTCAAGAGTGATGCCTCACATTGCGGTATTCATTGTAAGCAATAAACAACTTTGAATACCGACTAACTCGCTCTAATTCTTCGAAATTGAGTTTGCATTGCCACTGTACATTTCTTACTATATTCTTACTGTAATCATATGTTATTTTCAGTACCCATCAGAGCTCCTATAACGCCCATCCAAACCCAAGTATTGGTACAACAGCCACAACCACAACAACAGCT